AACTGGAATTCTTGCTGACCTGACTAGGCTATCCAGTGTTTGAAAGAAGATGCTCCTTTAATTTCAGTTTGGGAGCTGTTTTATCAGACACCTTTCGTTGGATTCCTAAATGAGCAAACACGCACACTTAATCCTGGGATATGGGATTTGTTGGTATTTATTATCCATTGCTAGTCTCCATTGAACTAATGGCTCTTGAGCTTCTTAAACCACTGCAAGCAGGTGAACTACAATCAATTGGGTACCTTTCACAGTAGATGTGATAGCTCCAGTAGCGTGGTTCCAATAACAAAAAACCATCTTTACCACATTAACTGCCTTTTTCTTTGTAAAGTTTGATAGAGCAGCTGATTTTGTGAAATAAAGTGGCCTAAAAGTTAAGAAAATTGTAGAGCAGATCAATTTGCAAACCTTTGTGTACGACGATACGAAGGTGGGTCGAGTTGTGGATAGTGCGGAGGGCTGTTCTAGGTTACAAAGTGACATTGATAGGATGCAGAGTTGGGCTGAGAAGTGGCAGATGGATTTTAACCCTGAAAAGTGTGACGTGATTCATTTTAGAAGGACAAACTTGAAAGCAGAATACAGGGTTAGGGGAAAGATTCTTGGCAGTGTGGAGGAGCAGAGGGATCTTGGGGTTCATGTCCACAGTTCCTTGAAAGCTGCCACCCAGGTGGATACAGTTGTTAAGAAGGCCTATGGTGTGTTAGCTTTCATTAATAGAGGGATTGAGTTCAAGAGCCGCGAAGTTATGCTCTAGCTATACAAAACCCTGATTCGGCCACATCTGGAGTATTGTGTCCAGTTCTGGTCGCCTCATTACAGGAAAGATGTGGAAGCGTTGGAAAAGGTGCAGAGGAGATTTACCAGGATGTTGCCTGGAATGGAGGGGAGGTCTTACGAGGAAAGGTTGAGAGAGCTAGGGCTTTTCTCTTTAGAACGATGAAGGGTGAGAGTTGACTTGATAGAGGTGTACAAAATGATCAGAGGTATAGATAGAGTGGACAGCCAGAGACTTTTTCCGAGTGTGGAGGTAGCTATTACGAGGGGGCACAGTTTTAAAGTGAGTGGAGGTAGATATAGGGGAGAAGTCAGAGCTAGGTTCTTTACTCAGAGTGGTAGGGGCGTGGAATGCATTGCCAGAGAGGGTAGTGGAGTCAGCCTCATTAGGGGCATTTAAGCGGCAATTAGATAGGCATATGGATGATAGTATAAGGTAGGGGTGGAGGTTAGATAGACCTTAGGTTTAGGGTAAAAATTCGGCAAAACATCGTGGGCCGAAGAGCCTGTACTGTGCTGTACTGTTCTATGTTCTGTGTTCTAAATGTATAACAGAAGGGGCTTCAGCACTCTTCTCTCTGTTGTACTGCTGATTGAATTGTTATCAGTTTAATTGTGATACGCCTACGGTTAGATTTATTCAGCAAAATTCTTGTGGAGGTTCTTCAATAAAAGTCCACAAAACCCATTAAAATAAATGTATATTGACCACAATAAGCTCTAAATGATTGTTATTCATGTGAGACAATATGATTTTTCTGCTGAGCAACCCCATGAGCTATGTAATAAAGTCAACTTGTCCTGCCAGACCCCGAGGGAGATTAGATCATGATGCAATGGACGTTTAGTAAAACTGAAAATAAAATGCTCTCTGTTTAAAGAATAAAATTACTTCTTTTTCCTCCATATACAAAATGACATAAATGCTTTTCCATTCTGAAGGTGTATAGACCGAAGTACGTATAAAACATTGCAAACAAGAAAAATATTTATGACTGTACATTACTGTAATGAGGCCAGCCAGGTGGACCTCATAGAATATGAGTTCCCTGATTGGGCTGTAAATCTAGTCCAATCAGGGAGCCCTGGCTGACAGATATAAACAGCAGTGTCGGACATCCTGTTAACTCTGAGAACTGGCTCTGAGGAAGCCAGACCAGTCCAAGTGTTATGCGTGTGAAAATAAAGGGTAACTTGGTGACAGGATACCGGCTTCAGTGGAGTTATTTCAATGACCTTCATCATTTCTGAACAAGATCCCCTCAGGACATTACTTAGTATTAGACATAAACCTGGAGAAACAATGGCTCTAAATAATCTCAGACTTCTCAATATCACTATTCAACAGACGTCTATACACAACATGAGAAAGAATATTTTCAATCAAGTATTTTAGCCATAATGTTTAATTCTAAACATATAACAACATTTTTGAAAAACATGGTAAGAGCTATCCACTGTAGGGCTTTCTTTAAGTATTTCTGACTGGAGGGTGTGGAAAGATGTGTTTAGCTGATTGAACGCCTGCCAGTTGTTCATGCCAAGGTATGACTGGTTAATCTAGATTTGATAAATCAACTGTTAAACTTCTGTATGGAGAGAGGAAATCTACACTTCTCCTAAAAATTATAGGTTGGCACAGACACAATGAAGTAAGTGATACATTAACCCCTGTCTGTTTACTGATTTACACTGTTTGTAACAAACTGTGATCATTATCTGCAGCGCTCACTTAGGTACTGTGTTCTAAATAAATTTCTGATCTTTAAAAACATACTCTAATGGTTCAGATCAAGTTTATTCCCAAGCATAGCGAAAAGCAAACTGGTACAGCTCTGGGAATTTGAAGAAAAGTACTGGCCAAACTATATCTACGGGAGATGGAAGGAAACTTAAAATTTCAGCTGCAATGATTATTTTCCAAATGTTACATGGTCTCTTAAGCCTCCAGAATAGTCAACAGAAAATCCATATTCAGTGGGAGCTGAAGCAGGTTTTAAACTTCTTGCATGCGCCGGAAAAAACAGCCCAGTACCCATTTGAGGCTGCATGATTGGCTTGCTGAGAAAGCCAACTGTACAGGGTCCAGGCCCGAAACGTCAGCCTTCCTGCTCCTCTGATGCTGCTTGGCCTGCTGTGTTCATCCAGCTCTACACCTTGTTATTTCACATACAACCTAATGTGCAGGCTGCTGCCAGAAACATAACATTTTAACTAAATGTGGAGTCATCACATCACTGCCTCTTGGTGACCACTACCCACTCTCACCCACTGCTAACTGTCTTCCAATTACTTCTTCCAAAAAATTACCTCCTTCCAAAAAGATCCCCTTCTTGACCAGAACATGACCTCTTCTGGTATGTCACACCACCCCATTCCTCCCATCTTCATCATTCCCTTTTACCACTCAATACGGTAATTAAACTATTATCTCTTGGGCCTCCCCATTTAGATGCAGTGATCAATTCCTATGCACTCATATTTCTAGAACTGGCCTCATATCAATTGTTTGAGTTTGGCTTAAACAAACTAATCTTGAAATTTGCTGATGACACAAAAAAAAGTGTTTGGCCAACAGTGGGGAGAAGTTTTAAAGGATTTCTGAAATACAAACAGGTTAATGGAACGGGCAGATAGTTTGTGTGTGCAATACAATATTGTGTCTAAATGGGTCATATACACTGTGGAAAACAACAATGTAAAAACACTATGAAGGCAGTGATGAACAGCACAACTTGAAGTTCAAATACATAAATACCTGAAATTGTGAATGTGAACACATGATGCCATAAACTCCTAACCCCAACATTTTAGATGTTATAGAGGGGGATAGGACACAGCAATAAAGGTGTGAAAACAAATTTATATGTAACATTTGCTTAGGTTGTATTTAGAATATTATGTATAGTTTTGAACACCCATTGTAAATACCCAAAGTGTAAAGCTTGAATTCATTAAGATGATGCTAGGAATAAGAATCCATACTTTGCATTTGAGAATTTTATCGACATTGTATTATTGTGAGGAATTAGTGTAACAACAAACAATGAAGACAGAAGTGAGGAAAAAGTCTATGTGTGGATGGTTGATGGAACATGGACTGTTTTGCTGGGACAGTGATGATAAGCAGATCATTGCACTTATTGATGGAAAATTGCAAAAATATTTGAGGCAAAAATGAAGAGTTCTGGGACAAGAACAGGGCAGCTCCAGCAAAACGCTAGCAAAAACATAGGGACAATAGTTTTCCTTTTATGCAGCAAATTTGTATATATTTAAAACTATAAAATTAAATTAAAACTGGTGTTCATTGACTGCATATGTTTCATTTTCATGTCTTTGCTTCACTCAATTGGTAGCATTTTAAATCAGTGGAAGTAAAACTCATGAGAGACGTAAAACACTTGTCAGCATCTGTTTTACATGATTGCATAAAGTCTAAACTCACCTCCCTCAGTCGAAACTTCCTGGGTCCAAGCCATGTAGAGATTAGCCAAATAATCTACTCTATGCAACACAGATAGATGTTTCAATGTAATTTGATGCTATTTGTCTATCCAGGTAAATGCAAGAAACTCCATGGCACTAGTCAAAGAAAAGCATAGTGTTTGCCCGGTATCCTGATCAATCTTTATCTCATCGTTATTAACACCAAAACACATCAATTAATTGTTAACCTTGTTGTTGCTGTCTGTGGTACTGGTTTGTGGCTGTTACATTCCTTTACACATCACCACACTTAAATTCAAAGCAGCTTTGATGAGCATGTGATATAGTCAGGAATGGAGTGATATGCTGACAGAATTAAATGATGTAATATCAGAAGGAGCTCAGGTGGAGAATAAATATCCAAAGATCAACCTGGTGAGTTGAGTGACTTCTTCCTGTGCTGTAAATTTGATATAATTGGACACCTTAAGAACGTGAAATACACAGTTGTCCGTCTCTGACAAAAAATGAATCAAACACCTTGTCTAAGACATTGTTATCGACCATCAACTGTAAACTAACCCCAACACAATTGCACTTTCTTTTATTATTGAGATACAAAGTATAAAGTGTCATGTTCACAGTCTATTGGGAAAGCCATGAACAAGATAATGGTTAAACGATACGAAGAGGAGTTTGGTAAATATTATCATACGACATTAAATATTCTCATACTAAAATAAATAAAAAAATGCTATATTGGAAAATTACACAAGTTTATGAGAGCTCAGTCGATCTTGATAATGTTCATTTATTCAGAATAAATTTTACATTAAATTTGAGATTAGCAATATACTATATACTTTACAAAAATACTGTCTGCAAAAACACAAATAACTTAGTCTATTTTACAACATATTCACATCAACCAATGTCAATATTTAGTATGCGTTCGTTTTCCCTGCAGCTTGAGTTTTGCTGTGGGCACACAGTGTGTCTAGTAACTTGTCCTCTATATTGACATTACCAATGGGTCTGAAAAAGAGTTCAATAATAACACCTGCTGTAATGGATCGCAGCATGGAAAGCGCAATGATCAGGCTGAAAAAGCGAGTCTGATCTTGTGTATACATGGTTTTCACATATTCATTGAGAGCTTGCTGCGCTTCTTGCTGAAGGCTCTGTATGTATTCTGTGCAGTGCAGTCCCGGGAGCTCTAGAAAAAGAACACAGCAATATTTTGGCACCGGAGAAATGAGGAATCTACACTAGCATTGATAAGTCACAAACTTGAAATGGGCCTAAACTTACATTGAGCTATTTAAAACATTCTCATTGCACACCTTTCGATTGTGAAAATTTAAAACAAAAGCAAATGTAGCATGCACCTTGTCAAGATTAGTCTGTTCCATACATTAGTATGTTACATCATCTTAGCATATTTTAAATATAAAGGGAAGGCGCTGATACTGAAACACAGAGGGCAAAGAGGAAATTTTATAGAATTCACTTTAAAAAAATGACAGGTTCTGACTGAATCAAAAATCTATTTATTTTGTTTGGTGAATCAGCATTGACAGATCATGAATTTATACCTTTTCCAAAGACGGTGAAAGGAGAGGTTCAAAGAAATTTCTTTAAGAGACCATCGATGGAGCCTGGATCGAGAGATCGTGCCCAGTGCAGAAGAGAGAGCATGGCTGTTGGTGGTGAGACGGCAGGGCAGAGGTGTGGGGAGCGACAGATTGAACCCAGTGTAGGAGAGATCGAGCCCAGTGCTGGGATTGAGAGATCAAGTCCAATGCGGGAGAGAGATTAAGCACTCGTGGGGAAAGCCCAGTGTGAACATAGAACATAGAACATGGAACATTACAGTGCAGTACAGGCCCTTCGGCCCTCAATGTTGCGCCGACCTGTGAAACCAATCTGAAGCCCATCTAACCTACACTATTCCATTATCATCCATATGTTTATCCAATGACCATTTAAATGCCCTTAAAGTTGGCGAGTCTAATACTGTTGCAGGCAGGGCATTCCACGCCCTTACTACTCTCTGAGTAAAGAACCTACCTCTGACATCTGTCCTATATCTATCACCCCTCAATTTAAAGCTATGTCCCCTTGTGTTAGCCATCACCATCCGAGGAAAAAGGCTCTCGCTGGCCACCCTATCTAATCCTCTGATCATCTTGTATGTCTCTATTAAGTCACCTCTTAACCTTCTTCTCTCTAACAAAAACAGCCTCAAGTCCCTCTGCCTTTCCTCATAAGACCTTCCCTCCATACCAGGCAACATCCTGGTAAATCTCCTCTGCACCCTTTCCAATGCTTCCACATCCTTCCTATAATGCGGCAACCAGAACTGTACGCAATACTCCAAGTGCGGCCGCACCAGAGTTTTGTACAGCTGCAACATGACCTCATGGCTCCGAAACTCAATCCCTCTACCAATAAAATCTAACACACCGTAAGCCTTCTTAACAACCCTATCAACCTGGGTGGCAACTTTCAGGGATCTATGCACATGGTCACCGAGATCTCTCTGCTCATCCACACTACCAAGAATCTTACCATTAGCCCAGTACTCTGTATTCCTGTTACTCCTTCCAAAGTGAGTCACCTCACACTTTTCTGCATTAAACTCCATTTGCCACCTCTCAGCCCAGCTCTGCAGCTTATCTATGTCCCTCTGTAACCTGCAACATCTTTCCGCACTATCCACAACTCCACCGACTTTAGTGTCATCCGCAAATTTACTAACCCATTCTTCTATGCCCTCATCCAGGTCATTTATAAAAATGACAAACAGCAGTGGCCCCAAAACAGATCCTTGCGGTACACCACTAGTAACGGAACTCCAGGGTGAATATTTCCCATCAACCACCACCCTCTGTCTTCTTATCGCTAGCCAATTTCTGATCCAGACCACTAAATCACCCTCAATCCCATGCCTCCGTATTTTCTGCAATAGCCTACCGTGGGGAACCTTATCAAACGCTTTACTGAAATCCATATACACCACATCAACTGCTTTACCCTCATCCACCTGTTTGGTCACCTTTTCAAAGAACTCAATAAGGTTTGTGAGGCACCACCTACCCTTCACAAAACTGTGTTGACTATCCCTAATCAAATTATTCTTTTCTAGATGATTATAAATCCTATCTCTTATAATCCTTTCCAACACTTTACCCACAACTGAAGTAAGGCTCACTGGTCTATAATTACCAGGGTTGTCTCTACTCCCCTTCTTGAACAAGGGGACAACATTTGCTATCCTCCAGTCTTCTGACACTATTTCTGTAGACAATGACGACATAAAGATCAAAGCCAAAGGCTCTGCAATCTCCTCCTTAGCTTCCCAGAGAATCCTAGGATAAATCCCATCCGGCCCAGGGGACTTATCTATTTTCACACTTTCCAGAATTGCTAACACCTCCTCCTTATGAACCTCAATCCCCTCTAGTCTAATAGCCTGTATCTCAGTATTCTCCTCGACAACGTTGTCTTTTTCCTGTGTGAATACTGACGAAAAATATTCATTTAGTGCCTCTCCTATCTCTTCGCGCTCCACGCACAACTTCCCACTACTGTCCTTAACTGGCCCTAATCTTACTCTAGTCATTCTTTTATTCCTGACATACCTATAGAAAGCTTTAGGGTTTTCCTTGATCCTACCTGCTAAAGACTTCTCATGTCCCTTCCTGGCTCATCTTAGTTCTCTCTTTAGGTCCTTCCTGGCTAACTTGTAACTCTCAAGCACCCTAACTGAGCCTTCACGCCTCATCTTTACATAAGCCTCCTTCTTCCTCTTGACAAGAGATTCAACTTCTTTAGTAAACCACGGTTCCCTCTCTCGACCACTTCCTCCCTGCCTGACAGGTACATACTTATCAAGGACATGCAGTAGCTATTCCTTGAACAAGCTCCACATTTCAATTGTGCCCAGCCCCTGCAGTTTCCTTCTCTATTCTATGCATCCTTAATCTTGCCTAATCGCCTCATAATTGCCTTTCCCCCAGCTATAACTGTTGCCCTGCGGTATATACCTATCCCTTTCCATCGCTAAAGTAAACGTAACCGAATTGTGGTCACTATCACCAAAGTGCTCACCTACCTCCAAATCTAACACCTGGCCTGGTTCATTACCCAGTACCAAATCCAATGTGGCCTCGCCTCTTGTTGGCCTATCTACATACTGTCTCAGGAAACCCTCCTGCACACATTGGACAAAAACTGACCCATCTAAAGTACTCGAACTATAGCGTTTCCAGTCAATATTTGGAAAGTTAAAGTCCCCCATAACAACTGCCCTGTTACTTTCGCTCCTATCCAGAGTCATCTTTGCAATCCTTTCCTCTACATCTCTGGAACTTTTCGGAGGCCTATAGAAAACTCCCAACACGGTGACCTCTCCTTTCCTGTTTCTAACCTCAGCCCATACTACCTCAGTAGTCGAGTCCTCATCAAACGTCCTTTCTGCCACCGTAATACTGTCCTTGACTAACAATGCCACACCTCCCCCTCTTTTACCACCTTCCTTGATCTTACTGAAACATCTAAACCGCGGAACCTGCAACAACCATTCCTGTCCCTGCTCTATCCATGTCTCTGAAATGGCCACAACATCGAAGTCCCAGGTACCAACCCATGCTGGAAATTCACCCATCTTATTCCGGATGCTCCTGGCGTTGAAGTAGACACACTTCAAACCACCTTCCTGCCTGCTGGTACACTCCTGCGACCTTGAAACCTTATTCATGACCTTACTACTCTCAACCTCCTGTACACTGGAGCTACAATTCAGGTTCCCATTCCCCTGCTGAATTAGTTTAAACCCTCCTGAAGAGCATTAGCAAATTTCACCCCAGGATATTGGTACCCCTCTGGTTCAGGTGTAGACCATCCCATTTGTAGAGGTCCCACCTACCCCAGAATGAGCCCCAATTATCCAGGTATCTGAATCCCTCCCTGCTGCACCATCCCTGTAGCCACATGTTCAACTGCTCTCTCTCCCTATTCCTCGCCTCGCGAGCACGTGGCACGGGTAACAAACCTGAGATAACAACTGTTTGTTCTGGCTGTAAGCTTCCAACCTAGCTCCTTGAATTTTTGCCTTACATCCCCATCCCTTTTCCTACCTATGTCGTTGGTGCCTATGTGGACCATGACTTGGGGCTGCTCCCGCTCCCCCTTAAGGATCCCGAAAACATGATCTGAGACATTACGGACCCTGGCACCTGGGAGGCAACATACCAACTGCGAGTCTCTCTCGTTCCCGCAGAATCTCCTATCTGTCCCCCTAAGTATGGAGTCCCCAATGACTGATGGTCTCCTCCTCTCCCCCCTTCCCTTCTGAGCAACAGGGACAGACTGTGTGCCAGAGACCTGTACCCCATGGCTTACCCCTGGTAAGTCATCCCCCCCAACAGTATCCACAACGGTATACTTGTTATTGAGGGGAACGGCCACTGTCTGCCTGTTCCCTTTCCGTCCCCTGACTGTAACCCATCTACCTTTTTCCTGTACCTGAGGTGTGACTACCTCCCTGTAACTCCTCTCAATTACCCTTCAGCCTCCCGAATGATCCGAATTTCATCCAGCTCCAGCTCCGGTTCCCTAACGCGGCTTCCGAGGAGCTGGGGTGACTACTGGCCCTTAGGTAAAGAAGGGCTATAATTTGGAACTTTTAACTTTACTTATTTCTTATACTTTATACTGACAAGGACTATACTGTACAACTTACAACTTATTTCTTTATTTTTCTACTTTTTTGCTAAGATTTTGTACCTTGGTACCTTGTACCCAAGATGGTGCAATGAATGGCGACTTTGTACATTTTCACTGTTCTCCTGTATCCCTGCACTTGAGTACATGTGACAATAAACCTAATTCTAATTCTATGTGTACTAAATGTCTGGATTCTTTAATGCTATGATACTTATATCTTGGTTTCTTATGTTACAGGCAATAAGATAAGCATTGCTGCATCAGGCAAAATACCCTGCCAGAAGCAAAATCCATATCACTGCAGGTTAAGTAAAATCATTTCAGTTTCTGAAATGTTAAGTGTGGTGTTGTAAAGAAATGTGGTCATGGACAGTCTGTCTGGCTGCGTAGACACAGCTCTCTGCAGGTAAGAACATGCGTTCTGAAGGCTGGGGTTGACTGCTAGCGCAGGGGCTGAGGATACCACTTCAGGCCTGGAAAGGAACT